TTCAGATCGCCATTTGCTGAATGCCGCTGGGGTGTCCATCACTGCAACAGCACACCGTTGTTTTCTCTGCTTTCCTGTGTCTGTCAGTCTCCAGGTACCCCTCTGCTGTTTTCTGTCCTCTCCTATTTCCTGGAATGTGCCAGCTCTGCTTCACACTGGCCAATATTTCTCCATCTGTTTAAATGTGTCCTTAGCCTATTCTGCCGTCTTGATTCTCTAAAAGAAAAAAAATTTAATATTCTATTTACTTGGAAGGCAGAGTTACCTGGAAAGAGTGAGTGAGAGAGGGCTTGGTGCAGTAGCCTAGCGGTGAAAGTCCTGTCCTTGCATGTGCTGGTATCCCATATGGGCACCAGTTTGTAACCAGCTGCTCAGCTTCCCATCCAGCTCCCTGCCTGTGGCCTGGGAAAGCAGCGGAGGACAGCCCAATGCCTTGGGACCCTGCACCCACATGGGAGACCCGGAAGAGTCTTCTGGCTCCTGGCATCAGATCAGCTCAGCTCTGGCTCTAGCGGCCACTTGGGGATCCATCTGGCATCCAACTGGCATCCATGTGGGATCCTGCCCCTCGCAAAGTGGGGATTTAGCTGCTGAGTCAATGTTTCGGGCCCGATGAGCACTCCTCTGGTTCTCTCCCTTCCTGATTCTATGGCTTCCTCTTTGAAGATCCTCCCACCAGATGTCTTTACTTTTCACACAGACATTTTTTTTTTTTTTATCTCTTTTTTTTTTTTTTTTAATAAATTTTATTTTGACATTCTTTACATAGTTAATTAGGGTAAGAAGGTTCAAGGGCTACAGGAAAGTGAATAATACTAATATGTTTTCCATATTGTTACCTTCATGTTTAAAAGGGGGGTTTTAAGGGAGAAGGCCCACCCAATTTCCCACCCTCCCCAAGTCCCGGGTGTAGGGCATGCTCTGAGGTTCTTGCTCAAGTGGTTTTGATATTGCAACAGTTATGAATCGCTGTCAATCTTGCCGCTCCAAGCACTATGAGGTCTTTGAAAAATCCACTGATTGACATAGTCCATCATAGCTTAGATGGTTGGTTGACCCGGTCTGTCTTCGCTCTTTTCTTTGTTATGGTTCTGAGTCCAGCATTTAGATTAGGAAGATCTCCAAAGAAACTTCTTGTATGTGCTAACAAGTACAGGGCCTGGCACCGTCATCGCTCCAATCAGCTGGTGGTTGCAATTCCTGGGTTGGTTCTGTGTTCACTCCCGTCTTCCACTGGAGCCAATGGGTGTTGCAGTCCAGTCTGGTTCTGCCCAGCACATACTTGGCCCTCACATAAACCAGCGGGAGCTGTAGCCTAGGTTGGAGCGACCCACAATAACCCCAACCAGGCCCACCCCCTACCCTGGTTTGCCAGTAAGTGTAGCAGTAATCCAGTCTGTCCCACATCCCATTCCACCCCAGCCGCTGTCTTAGTTTTATGTCCTCCCGTGGAAGTGGTAACCCAAGAGGGATGAGCCCACTATTTCCCTCCCAGGCCTCTCCCACTCCCAGATTCCAGTTGATGCTGCCCAAACAAACCTCGCCCACTTTAATTTTGTTTGCACCAGTAGGAATAATCCGCCCAGCCTGGCTTTTCCCTGATCTAGTCCACATGAGGCGCACAGGTGTTCACACAGACATTTAAACATTTCTTTTCTTTTTTTTTTAAACTTTTAAAAAATTATATTTTTGACAATCTTTACATAGTTAATTAGGGTAAAAAGGCACAAGGGCTATAGGAAAGTGGGTGAGACTATTATTTCCGTATTGTTTCCTTCATATATCTGAGGTAAAGGGGATATTGAGGGAGAAGCCCCACCCAGTCTCCCACCCACCCCTGGTCCCGGATGTGGGCCATGCTCTGACATACTTGCTCAAGTGGTTTTGAGAGTTCACCAGTTATGAATCGCGGCCAATCTCACCACTCCAAGCACGATGAGGTCATTGAAGAATCCACTGATTGACATAGTCCATCTTAGAGTCTCCATTTGTCCAGTATTTCACTGCCAACAAATAGCTGAGATGGTTGGTTGACCTGTTCTGTCTTCTGTCTTTTCTTGGTTAGGGTTCTGAGTCTGGCATTTCGATTGGGGAGGGCCCGGCACAGTCCATCACCCCGATCAGCTGGTGGTGGCAATTGCTGGCTTGGTTCTGCTTTCAGCCCTGACTTCCACTGGAACCAAAGGGTGCTGCAGTCCAGCCTGGTTCTGCCCAGCACACACCCGGCCCTCGCATAAACCAGTGGGAGCTGCAGCCTAGTCAGAGCGACCCGCAATAACATAAAGAGAACAAATGTCATGTAGTTCACAGATACAAAGTGAAGTATAATACTACTCACAGTTATGATACTGTTACGTGTTTTTTTTTTTTCCCTAAATGGAGTTCAGTGACTTTCCTGAAATTTGTGTTTTTTAATCAAATCTGAGGAAACTGTAGCATCATTTCTTATTATATTCTTCAGCCCCATCGTTTCTATTTCATGGTTTATTTTTCTGATATTTTGATAATCTAATTTTTCTGATTTTTTAAAATGAGAATCAATTTTAAGTATTCTCACCACGAAATGTGCGAAGTCGTGTAGATATTAATGTTTGATAATGCATGCATATTTGAAAACACACTGTACGTAAAAAGTGTGCCTGAGTTTTGAGAATACCAACTTGTAAAGATCATACAGTTTCACTGTAATTATTTCGTCTCCCAGCTGCGAGCGTCCGCCCGCCTCTGGCTGTTGTAGAAGTGAAGGTTTCTGTCCCTGCAGGTGCCCTTTAGAAACTTCTAATTGCTTCTCACGTTTGGGACCTGGGAATAAACTTTGTTCTGCTTCCCGTGAAATCTCAAAGGTCCAATTGTGCGTTGGCATTAAATGACAAGCGAAGTGCTGGGTGCGTTTCTCCGGGGAGTTGAGGTCGGAGAATACCGGCCCCGCAGCGCGTGTCTGTGGCTGTTCTTCAAGCCGAGCAGGAGCTCACGCCAACCACCTGAGCGCAACCGCCTGGCAGCATAAGGGAGGCAGGCGGGCATGTTCTTCGCCTTCTACATAACGGCTTATTTATTTTTATGCAAAAGGCATATTTACAGAGAGAAGGAGAGAGAGCGAGAGAGAGCGACAGAGAGAGACAGAGATTCCTATGTGCTGGTTCACTCTCCAGATGACCGCAATGGCCAGAGCTGAGCAGATCTGAAGCCCAGAGCCAGGAGCTAGGAGCTTTTTCTGGATCTCCCGTGTGGGCGCAGGAGCCCAAGCTCTCGCACTATCTTCCGCTGTTCTCCCAGTCCATAGATGGATCCGAAGTGAACAGCCAGGACAAGAGCCGGTGCACGGAGAGGATGTTAGTGCTATGGGAAGAGGGTTAGGCCGCTGAGCCGCCACGCAGCCCCGCTGGTGTGTGTGTGTTCTGCTTCGTTCTGGAGATGGAGTTTGCAAAGCAAGGAGGCTTAGCAGGGCTGCCTCTCGGCAAGGGGCCTGTTGGGTGAGAGGGTTTCACAGGCGTGTGGAGCCAGACTTAAGCTGAGCTTGTAGAGGGAGAGAGAGCAGAGGTTCTCAACTGCTCCAAGCGTATTTCCATGCAGCCATTCTAGTGACAACTGTTTTGAACAACTTCATGTGATTTAGCTACCAGGGAGAGAGACAGGAATAGAGATGTCGACATACATAAATGGTGGCTGGATGGAGGGATGGATGACCAGGGCAGAGACAGATCCATGAGCCGCTGGCACACTCTTCCAATGTACAAAATAGCTGGGAGTGGGCCAGGCTCAGGATGCAATCCGGGACTCTGGTGTGGGTGCAGGGTCCCATGGACTTGAGCCACCCCTGCCGTCTCCCAGGATGCACCTCAGTAGGCAGCGGGAGTCAGGAGGAGAGTTGGGCCTTGAACACAGCCACTTCAGTTCCAAGCACCGTACCCACTCTTGGAATGAATGTCATCCTTAGGAATATAGTGCAGACACACTCACGGCAGCCTGCTGTGCGGGAATTACAGAGAAATCCGTATGATTCCCCAGGTTATTCTGGTGGCACTGCTGGGATGCGGGGCGCGCACGGGATGGTTTGTTCCTGTCTGACACCTGCTGACATGTTCTTACAGAGATCATAATGTAATCGCATCTAGCCTCATGGTATCTGTTGCCTGTGGGCCGAGGTGGGACCATCTTCCTTCCTGAAGTTAAGAAGACTTTGAGGAAGCGTGGAATTCATACTCGAGCGATTCAGACAATGGACCACTTAGCATTTCAGCATCCTTCAGTTCCCAAGGTGTCCTTTGCTGTTCTGCTTTGAAATTCTAATGTCATGCTCAAGCTCATTTGCATAATGCCTCTATTTCCATGTATTCAGTTTATAAAATAGCATGCCTCGATTTCATCCTGCATAATTGTATTCTAATATTATTCAAATATCACATTTCTTATTAATTTTTCCAGATTATCATCTCATTAACTTTAGTTTCTACCATAAAAACATTTTTTTAAAGATTTATTTTATTTTTATTTCAAAGTCAGATGTACAGAGAGAAGGAGAGACAGAGAGGAAGATCACTCCCCGAGTGACTGCAACAGCTGGTGCTGCGCCGATCCGAAGCCAGGAGCCAGGAACTTCTTTCCGGGTCTCCCATGTGGACGCATGGTCCCAAGGCTTTGGGCCATCCTCAACTGCTTTTCCAGGCCACAAGCAGGAAGCTGGATGGAAAGCTGGGATTAGAAGTGGCGCACATATGGGATCCTGGCAAGCTCAAGGTGAGGACTTTTAGCTGCTAGGCCACTGTGCCGGGCCCAAGGTCTTATGACTATTAAACTTGTTGGATTAAAGAGTTAATTCTTCTGCACACTGCATTGCAAATTTTGACAAACAATATGTTAGAAATAAGTCCTCTGTGAAAATGAAAGGGTGAGTGATGTAGTTGGATTCATTTTCATGAGAACACACCCCTCCCCCGTGTGTGTGTGCAGGTCCTGTTTGTGAACGTTGCTATCGAACCCCTGGGAAACAAGGAGACGACATGGACCTGGTATCCCGGACAATCTTCCCTTTCCAGATTGTCTTGGGGATCCTAGGGAATTTCTCATGTTTGTGTGAGCATCTTTTCAACCACCTTTCTGGACGTAAGGCACGGCGCACAGATTTGGTGGTCAGGCACCTCACGGTGGCCAACGCCTTGGTCATCCTCTCCAGGGGAGTCCCGGAGACCATTGCGGCTTTTGGACACAAGCATTTCCTGGGTGATCTTGGATGCAAACTCGTGTTCTACGTGCACAGAGTAGCCAGAGGGGTCTCCATCAGCACCACCTGCCTCCTGACTGCTTTCCAGGCCATCATCATCAGTCCCATGGACTCCAGATGGGCAGAACTTAAAGCCAAATCCCCAAAGTTCATTCGTTCCTTCAGCGTCCTGTCCTGGGTCTTGCACATGCTGATAAATATTCAAGTTCCCGTGGTGATGAGTGGCGGAAGGAGTAACAAGAACACGACCTTCACTGTGGACTTTGGGTATTGTTCCGCTGCCGCAGGGAACAAGGGCGTGGACTCGGCGCTCGCGACGCTGGTGACTTTCCACGACGTCTTGTGGTTCGCGCTCATGCTCTGTACCAGCGGCTCCATGGTTTTCATTCTACACCAGCACAAGAAGAGGGTCCAACACATCCATAGACGCAAAGTCTTGCCAAGATCCTCCCCCGAGATCCAGGCTACCCAAAGAATCCTGGTCCTGGTGAGTACCTTTGGGTCCTTGTATTCCTTTTCTTCCGTCATCTATTTTTATTTTTATTTTTTTGATGAGACCGCCGGGTGGCTGTTAAACACCTCGGCTTTGGTGAACGCTTGCTTTCCAACGGCCAGCCCCTTCATTCTCATGAGCTACTCGTGTACACATGAGTTACACATGTTTATGCCTGGGAGGAATAAACCATCCTCTCAGTTCCGGAGAACACAAACGGTCTGATTTTTGTTGGGATCAGTGACTTTTACACTTGACTGTCAGCCAGCGTCATGGCGAGGAAGTTCTGAACAGGCAGAGGTTCTGTTTCGACAACAAATAATAGTGACAGCAAATGAAGCTGTTTGTGACATCACCTGACTGTTCATCTCACTGTACCTTGTGGGTGGTCGTATTATCTGGGTTCATCGTTGCACCAATGAAAACATGCTTTGTCCTGAAACAATGCACACCCTGGAAATGTCTCTGATTATATATTTCTGTCTCCTAGACTTCATTCAGTGTTTCATTGTATGATGATTCTGTTAAGCACAGTGGCAGCATGTGGCACGGCCCTTCCACAAGCTCATGCAGCGGAGAGGTAGCTTTGAGTTGGAATGGAGAGGCCTGGCTGAAGCGGGAAAGCAGGAAGGAAAATAGACTTTAATTGCCATGGACACGGTAGGCTAGAGTAGAATATTGTGACTGATATCCTTCCAAATGTGATACTGCTTATGGGAACCGAACAGAATAGCATCAACATTTTTGGCTTAGCATTGGAATAATGAATCGCAGAGTGGGACCCAGGAAGGATGAATCAGCTGATAGGAAGATGGTATAGCTGGGAAGCCAAGCTGAAATACATTTCCTGACCGGGATGCAATGCCAGGAGAGAGTGAGAGGAACAGTGTCTCTAGATGACAGACAGAAGGTCCTGGGCGAGCCAGCCGAGAGGTGCCACAAGCTGCCGGCTCGCCAGCGGATTCTACTATTCCTGAAAACGGCAGAGGAGCCAGTTCCACTCAGTTCAAGAGAAGTACGTTGTTGTCACAGTTCTCACACTTTGACCTGGATTTCCTCTAGGAACTGTTCATTACTTTTGTAATGATTAAGTTAAACATAAAATACGACTACAGGCTAAGATGCTGCTAACCCTAACCCAGTTCTAATCCCAGCAGCCCTGCTTCCCATCCAGCTCCCTGCCCGTGGCCTGGGAATGCAGACGGGGATGGCCCAAAGCCTGGGGACTCTGTACCAGCTAGGGAGACCTGGAAGAGGCCCCCGGCTCTTGGACTGGATCGGCGCAGCACCGGCCATTGTGGCCACGGGCCGTGGGAACGCACCCTGGGCCCTGGGTCACTGGCCGGCGAGATGCAGCGACATGAGATACCGCACTGCCACGTCAACCCCCTCCCGCTGCTCATTGCTAAACTACCCTTGCAAATAGAGATAAAATGCAACGTCACACCCACGTCACACCCACGGCTGTTCTCTCCTTTCACTTTTTCTTTCCTTTTTTTTTTAAATTTACATGTTTTTATTAGAAAGTCAGATTTATGGAGCTGAGACAGAGAGCAAGATCTTCTGTCTGCTGGTTCACACCCCTAAGTGGCTGCAACGGCCGGAGTTGAGCCAATGTAAAGCCAGGAGCCAGGAGCCTCTTCTAGGTCTCCCACATGGGTGCAGGGTCCCAAGGCTTTGGGCCATCCTCAACTGCTTTCCCAGGCCACAAGCAGAGAGCTGGATGGGAAGTGGAGCTGCCGGGATTAGAACCTGTGCCTGTGTCTAACACCTTCCTGTGGTGAGGACTTTGGGAGACTTTGCTGCCAGTCTTGGCTGCCTTCCCCCGTTCCCACCGCCAGGCACACCTGGCAGACTCGGGGTACACGTGCGCAAGCTCGCCCTCTGCTGTTCACGCGCACACAGACGTCTCTTGGCAAAGCGAGATTCCTGGTGCAGACCCATGGCTCCCCCAATCCAAGGCTCGGAACCAGCGGCCTGGAAGCCCCTTTCGCTGCAGCCGGTGCACCGTGTTCTGAGTTTAGGCCTGCGGCCAGCAAGTCTGACGCTCATGCCGCCCTTCCCCTCACTTCTGGTGTTGGCACCAGGGCTCTTAGAGCAGGTCTCCATTTTTCCTTCCTTCCTTCCTCTCTCTCTCTCTTTCTTTCCTTCCTCCCTCATCCCCTCCTTCCTCCCTCCCTCGCTTCCTTCCTTCAAGATCTATGTATTTGATTTTCTTGGAAAAGCAGATTTACACAGAGAAGGAGAGACAGAGAGAAAGCTCTTCCATCTGCTGGCTCACTCTCCATGAGGCCGCAATGAGACCACAAACCAGTGCCCACACGGGATCCCGGCGCTGGCAAGCTGAGCATTTAGCCCCTGAGCTGTTGTGCTGGGGTCACCTCCTCCTTTTGCTGAAACGATTGCTTAGGCACGTAGACGCTACACGAGGGAGTCCCTTCAGGCTCCTGAGATGCAGCCTGGAGATGGCCTGAGCGGACGGGAGACTGAACCACTCACAGTGTACCTGAGTCCCACACTGTGCCCTGACTTCAGTGCCACCCTACTGTGTATTTTGTATAAATCAAGTCTAGTCAACCAATGTCCAGTCTGTATTTTTACCCTGAAAATTCTCAGATAAGCAATATGATCTGCAATGCAGAAAGTTACTGCTTGCTAAGCTGAATTAGTCAATAGCTCAAACATTTAAGTTCTTATAAAGTGCTCGAGAGAATGCAACCACCAGCACACGACGGGCATTGGCCTCGCAGCTAAGATGCTGGCTGGAGTGCCTGGGTTCGAGTCCTGACCCGGCATCCTGGTGCCCTTTGGGAGGGAGCAGGTGATGGCTCCAGAGTGGGCCCCTCTCCTCCGAGCTTCCAGCTCCCAGCCTCAGCTGGGTGTCTGGGAGCTCCCGCTCTCTGTGTCTCAGGTGTGGAAAGAACGCTGGTTCCTCCTTCCTGGTCGTCAGCAGCACTAAGCCAGAGAGCAGGCCCGGCTCCCGAGCCTGGCGGGCAGGAACGCAGCGGTTTGAGCATCAGCTGCTACCTCCCGGGACCTGAATTACTAGCAGGACGCTGGAGGCAGGGTCACAGCCCGGCGTCAGCCAGGCGTCCCAGGGCGTGTGGGACCCTCACCCAGTGTCCGCCGTGCTTGGACAAAGTCCTGCCCCGCAGCGACGTGTGCGTGTCGCACACTACACTCACGTTCCCTCCCATTGCCCGTTCTAGATACAATCGGAATGTGCTTTTTTCTTGTTAGGACGCTGCCATCTTACGTAAGCAAAGATGTAAGGACAGTGAAATCTCCTCCAGCAAGGTAACATGAAGAATCTGAAGGTCCACAAAGTACTGAAGGACTCTTTAAACTTTAGTGCATTTCCATACCACGTTCATAATAAGCCTTTACAATAGTGAGATGGCTCATCAAGACGTAATTTGGATTTGCCTCTAAATTACCATGCTGTGTACAAGCAGTAAAGTAGTATTTAAAAAAAAATCAAATTAGGTAGAATAGAAGGGGTTTAAAAGATCTAGGCAGCATTGCCTCTGCATCCCAGACACTGTGCTGCATGCCTTGTCAACATCAACTCATTAATCCTGCCAGCAGCCCAGTGGGAGGTACTCTTTCTACAGCATCCGTTTGCAGGTGGACAGGGCAACAGAGGCGTCTTGACTGCTCTGCTTCCCATGCGGCTTCCTGATCGTGACCTTGGGCAGAGGATGGCCCAAGTCCTTGGTTCCTGCATCCCTGTGACAGACCCAGAAGAAGCTCCTGGCTTCTGGCTTCAGATTGGCTCAGCTCTGGCCTTGCTGGCCATTGAGGAAGTGAATCAGTGTCTGTTCTCTCTATAAATTTGCCTTTGCAATAAAAATAAGTCTTACAAATACCACAAGACTGAATTAATTAAAAATTGTCACTTATAAAATACATACACCAATGGTGCAGAATAGAAAACCTAAGAATAAATCCGTGGACCCACAGCTGCGTCACCCGTGTCTGAGCTGTCAGGCACGCCGGCCTCCGGCTTTCCAACGTCAGGCTGACGTTGTGTCGAGGGAGGGCTTTCGACACTTGTTGATCGGAGGTTTTGTAATTAAGGGGTTTTTGAGACAGTGTTCTGGCTTATTCACCGCTCTGGTGCGGTTTATTGCGGTTACTGATTTGCGTATGCCGGACCACACTGGGGTCTGGACCCTGACCCTCCTCTCCTTCCCCCTTGCCGAATCCCTTCTGACAGTGATGGATGTGTTGTTTTGTTAAACCTTGCAAGATTTTAATGAGGGTTTTTGCAAGCATGTTCACGCAGAATACTGGCTTGTAGCTCTCCTCTTGTTGCTTTCTTATCTGGCTTTGGCTGGTCTCAAGAAGAATTTGCTATTCTTCCTTCCCTTGAAATAATTAAAGCAGGGCTGGTGTTAATTCTTCCTTGGTGTTTGGCAAAATTCATGAGGAACGCCATCTGGCCTAGACAGTTCTTTGATGGGAGACTAGTACTCATCTCATTATTCATTTTCTAAATATACTCATGCAATCTATTTGTTCATGATATCTATCTTGGTAGGGTACATGTGTCCAAGAACTTGCCTGTTGCTAGTGGATATCAGAGTCGTTGGGACACAGTTTCTAACAGCCGTCTCTTCTCACACCACTCAGCCATGCTGTCCTAGCACTAAAACACCCTTAACCTTTAAACAGCGTACCCATGTGTATCCTTAAACCTAAGAATGCACTTCGATCACATTTGGTAGTATAATAATATTTTGAGTTTTATTCTACAACCAACTCTGTTCTCTCTAGTCCTGCAACATCCCAAGGTCTGGACCCTCGTCTTGTCCCTGACCCTCCTTTCCTGTGATCTTTGTTTTTTTAAAGATTTATGTATTTTTATCGCAAAATCAGATGTACAGAGAGGACGAGAGACAGAGAGGAAGATCTTTCATCTGATGATTCACTCCCCAAGTGAGCGCATCAGCCGGAGCTGTGCCGATCTGAAGCCAGGAGTCAAAAACTTCCTCCAGGTCTCCCATGTGGATGCAGGGGTCCGAGGCTCTAGGCCGTCCTCCACTGCTTTCCCGGGCCACAGGCAGGGAGCTGGATGGGAAGCAGGGCTGCCGGGATTAGAACCGGCGCCCATATGGGATCCTGGCGCATTCAGGGCGAGGACTTGAGCCACTAGGCCACCACGCTGGACACGTCACTGCCCTCAACACCTCCATTCTCCTACATTGGGTAATAAAGCTTACAGAAAAATTTGAGTCTAAATATTGTAAATATTGTCCTCCTGTCACTAACAGGACTCAATAATTGTATAGCAGATTCCCCCTACAAAGCTTTGATACTAATTGGCAGTGAATTACACAAATTAGTTCAGATTAACTAAATAGGATTTATGCAAATGAGTCCAACCTAAATGCTATCAGGTTGATATCCCAAGTTCAAGTGAAGAATATTTCAACTAGGCTCAACACCATAAACAGGTCTGTTACTGGATGGGTAATTACTGCTCTGTAGTGAAGAAGGCCCTGAAGTGGATAACTCAGTCTCGGCTGTTGAGGGAGTGGAGAACGCTGGCAAGCGTGAATTTACAGCTCTGGACTCTATGGAACCAAGTTTAAGTTGTAGCCTCATATCTTCCTAGGTCAAGGATGTAGTAGTGTTTATGAGGTATTGTTCAAAAGCATTAACTTAAATTTCCAATAAAAAAGGATGTGTTTTTAATTTGAAAGGCAGATTTAAGGATAGCAGGAGAAGAGTTAGATCTTCCATCTACTGGTTCACTGCCCGTATGGCTGCAACAGCTGCAGTTGAACCATTCCAAAGCCAGGAGCTTCTTCAGGGTCTTGCATGTTGGGTCCTAAGCACTTGAGCCATCCTTGCTGTTTTCTCAGGCATGAGCAGGAAGCTGGGTTCGAAGTGGAGCAGCTAGGATATGCCCATTTGGGACACTGGTGCTTCTGGGACATAAAAAAGTAGGATCTTGTTTTTTTGTTTGTTTGTTTCTGTTCACTTTGGTTTTGTAACTTTTTTGGGGATCTGATTAGTAATATATCAATCATGGAAATGGAGAGATTGCTCATTGGTTTAAGAGTGTTTATAATTTTACAATTCAGGGAAAACTTTGGGATGGAAACTGGGCGTGGCCAATCTCCTAGTACCCTTGACTTGCCAAAGTCATAAAAACTAGGCAAGATGGGTGGAGGAGACTGGGGCAATAGGAAGACTAAATGTAGCATGGTATTTAGGGATAGATCCTGGAATACAGAAATTGTACATTGGTGAAGTGCAAATTCAGAGTGCAGGCTGATGAATGGGAAAGGACCAACGACCCTGGTTTTGGAAACGCGCCATAGCGACCGTATTAACTTACTGAAAATGTGCCTAGGGGGATGTAGAGTCTCAACGTATGTGTGCAACTTTTCTACAAGTTTAAAATAATTTCAAGGGCCCGGCGCGGTGGCCTCTGTGACAGACCTCAGGATTGCTTGCTCCCTCCCCAGCAGACCTGTCTGCCTCAGGGAGCTGTGGAAAGAACAGGCACTTGAACCCCTCCTGGAGCCTTTTTGGAGATAGTAACTACGCGCTGTAATTGTTTATGTCATTGGCAAGGGGGGATGATTTCACAAACATCCTCAGTTCTCCAATTTGACTTTCATGACAGGTGAAGGGATAATTGTGGTCTGAAGGGAGGTGAGGTCACACAGTCACAAACCCATTTCTAGGGGTCAACTCATGACTCAGCCTGTGGCAACCTTGATGTCGATGCTTGTCCTGGCAGCTTAAAGAAATACGGGATTTTAAAATGTTGACTGAAAGAAAGAGGCATTGATCATGGAGGCATATCAAGGCGTCTGGGTGAGTTGTCCTAGGATTCTCCTGTGTGCCCCTGGTCTTGTGCCTGGCCTCACAGGCAGGAAGAAGAATCCTGAGGTATGTAGTGAGCCAGGACAGAAAGGTGGCGTCCTTCACTCCTCAAGAACCCCTCCTCGTGTAATTTACTACAATTCAATAGTCATTGTCTCTTGGCGTTTCAGGAAAATAATCATGAAATCTAGTGTTGATTTGCTTAAGGAGGAGGTTCCAAAACAAATCTGCGGCTGCCTGGTGCACAGCAACCACACTATGCATGCAGAGGTAGCAGAGATGTACCTGCACCCGTGGGAGCCAGCATGCTTGTGAGACAAGAAAGGACAAGTCTGCGGATTCTTCTGATCCTGGGCAGACACAGGGGCCTGAGCGGCAATTGCCGGAATAAAGGACTGTGTGCATTCCATTGTGTGACTTGTCCAGTGGACACAGTGGCTATCTCCTGGCGGAAGCACCCGTGCATCCACAGTATGGTAAGATGATTTTCTGTTTTCAAGAGAAGCCTGTTTCAGGAAAAAGTCACATTTGGCTTTAGAAATGAGTCTCAGATGGCGGCTCTCATGTCCCGAGGTGACCACTGACATCTGCTCTGGCTTGGAAATACTTTCATCTCAGGTGGAATTGCTACAGTCGCAAGAGCTACAACACACAAGATCTGACACTCCACCTTGCAGGTTGTATGTGTAGCTTATACTTCAAATCCTTTCAGAAAAACACTTGTATTAACTTCTAGTAGACCTGAGTACATCAAATAAAAGCAGTAATGTTTATTTTCTGCCACACTTGATTTTCACCAGAGATAGGCATTAATGTCCCATAACATCGAGGGCACAAGATATTTTTTTTTTCTCTTGTCAGTGTCAAATGGTATACTATTGTCTACTCAATATGTTGGCAATTTTGAATAACAAGTACAATTGTTCAAGGAGAAAGACAGTATATGCTATAGTGATGTAATCTATTCCTCATAAGATAAACAATTGGACCATTAATATTTTTGTGAGATTTTTGGTTGATTCTGTATTATTAAAGCAGGCTAATACACATGAAATAAGTACAAATTGAGTCTCATAAAAATAGCCTGATTTATATATCAAGTCATATATATGTGTGTATATATATATATATATATATATATATAGTATTTGTACAACACAGCCAATAGATCTGTCAGGGTAACACTGGTTAATTTAACTGCTTTTATAGAAGCCCAACTAGCTTTAATACCCTATTTAGTACACAAATTGTGACAAAGGTGTACGGTGAAGCTGCCTGTGGGATAAATTCATTACCCATGATATGAGCACTACTAACTTTCCCTGAAGTTACTAGGAATACAGCAATTACTTCATGGGTGTTTCAATATAACGAATATTGTGAAAGTAGACCTCAAGATTATGTAATGAACTTTATGTAAACATGTTCATACGAATGTAGTTACTGCTAAGTGGGAAGTCACGAAAGCAGAGAATACGATGCATATAGACTGATGAGTTTCCCTTGACATTAACGCGTGTAGCCCTTTCCTCGTCCCCAAACGTAATCACAGGCTCAGAGACAACCATCAGGCATCCGGAGCTGATGCCATGGTCAACGGAGAGCTGACAATGGGGATGATGTATTTGTCACAGGTCAGCATTGCAATCCTGGGGAATTTCTGTCTTCTTTCCCACGATCTCCATCTCCTCTTCATAGGATGCAAGCTCAGGCCCACAGACTTGACTATCCGACACCTGACTGTCGCCAACTGCTTAGTCATTCTCTCTAAGGGAACCACACAGACCATGGCAGCTTTTGGGATGAAGGACTTCCTGAGTGACATTGGTTGCAAACTCATGCTCTATGTGCACAGAGTGGGCAGGGACATGTCCACTAACGGTACTTGCCTCCTGAGTGTGTCCCAGGCCATCATTATCAGTCCCAACAACTCCAGGTGGGCAGAGCTCAAAGCCAAACTTCCCAGGTACATTGGCCTCTGCAATATCCTCTGCTGGATGCTGAACCTGATAATAAATGTCGTGGTACTTGTGCATGTGACTGGGGGCAAGAGTGACAAAAATATCACAAAGACAATTGACTTGGGCTACTGTTATTCTGTGAATCCTGTCAAATTCACAGCATCACTGTACACAGCCCTGGTGAACTTGAGAGACATTTTCTTCATAGGACTTATGCTGTGGTCCAGCGGCTTCATGGTTCTCATCCTGTACAGGCACAAGCAGCAGGTGCAACACATCCGTAGGAGCAACACCTCCAGCAGGTGCTCCCCAGCATCCAGAGCCACGCACAGCATCCTGGTCCTGGTGAGCACATTTCTGTCCTTTTGTACTCTCTCCTCTATCTTTCACACTTGCTTAATTAGTTTAGGAAAGCCCAGTTGGTGGCTGGTGCACACCTCGGCACTCATCGCTGGGAGCTTCCCAGCTGTGAGCCCCTACATTCTCATGAGCCATGACTCCAGAGTGCCCAGGCTCTGCTGCACCTGCACAAGGAATGCTAACTCCCCAAAGTTTTAAGAGTGTGAAAAGTGTTCAGAATAATTATGATGATCTATTTCTCATATTTTAAAAGTTACTGACTCAGACAATTTTCTTACTGGAGAGACAGAATGATACTCCTTGTCCTATGATTCATTCCCTCATGGCTACATTCAACCCTTGTCCGTGGTCCATGCTATGAGGTGAGACTCAGAGGCAGTCATATAAAATGTGTTATGTTTGTATTTGATCCGTAATCCTGGGGAAAGTGTCAAAGAAGAAATGTGAAGCAATGCTGACCAGGTGATGACACTGTGCTGACCCCCCGGGTCTCTGTTAGACTTGTCACGCCCTGTGTCTCCTAACTCTAGGAGCTAACATTTCCATACGATTTGAGGCCAATCTTTCCTTTCTTTCTGACTCATGAAGACTGTTCCACTCACTGAGATACACAGAACACGATCCAGTGTTCCAGGGCTGTAGTGGATCTTCAGCTCAGTGGGTCTATTTGGCTTGTATTTTTAAGGCAGGACTCTGCCCTGCTGGGAGTCATGTCCCCCCAGCTGTCTTGGGAACTCTATCTTTTGTTAACATGAGTTCCAAGAAACAAGGAGTTTTCCTTTGAGTATCATATAGAAATGTGTCATTAGTGTCATAATTGGGAGGATAGATAGTTATACACACCACCAACATGACAAAGATCAGCCAGCCTGCCTCACGCCCCATACGTTTCTTGACACTTTTGGTGGAAATGGCATGCTGAGAGAGGAGTGATGGTCTGCAAGGACAAGGACCCTTTGTGTGATGGGTAGTGGAGGAGACAAGGCTCCATGGTGCATGGAGGAAATGTGCTCATCACGTGGTGACCAGCGGTGTGAGGAGCCGCCACTGTCCTGTCCAGGAGGCGCCTGTGTGGGAATGTAGGACTGAAACAGGCTCCTGACTGTGCTCCGCCTGATGCCCTTTCTCTTCCTACTAGAAGCATGTGAATTGCCAAATTGATGGAGCGCTCCATGAGTGTGTGCTTTGGTCTCTTTCCCTCCTATGTGACTGGCAGCATTAAAGAGGAGCGTTATAGAGGAGACTCCGTATGTTTGTGTTTCCTAAGAAACTCAACTCAAACTTTCATTGCTAGGATCTATAGATTGGGCTACATATCAAAGCTTTACACACATTGGGAAGTTAATCCAAACACAGTTATTACATAAACCATCATCAACCTAAAGTAAAATCACAAGGCTTGAAAGTGACAAAGTAAATGCCAGCATCATTCTTAGGGCACAGCTAAGAGCTCCGTAGGCTGATGGTCAGACATTCTGTTTTGACAGGTTCAACGTCCCATCAGAGGCAAGAACGGGTGAAATTAAGACCAAGCAATACCTCTAGCTGTCCCAGGGGTCTTTATCTTCTCAGTGTGATAATATTGCTGCTTGACTCACAAAGCTTTTTCTTTTTAAAGATTTATTTTATTTTTATTGGAAAGGTGGATATACAGAGAGGAGGAGAGAGGTGTGAGAGGGGAATCTTCTGTCTAAAGGTTCACTTCCCACAAGGTTCTGCGAATATTCTTGAAGGTGACACTGAAGGTGTCTCTGAAATGCTTAGTGTTTAAAGAAGAGCTGAGTCTTTCAAATTGGGGAGTAACTGAGGGAAGATGTTGTGTTTCAGTCCCCACGGCTCCTGCAGCCCTGATCTGACCCTCCCCTGCAGGACTCCCCAGCCCAGAAGGTAACGATTCATTATTGGCAGACGCTGGGTCACTCACTCAGGGGTATTGGAATAATCTACTTCTCACCAACTTTCTTCTTTCTTCCTTGCATTTTCTCTAGCTCCATTTCACAGGATCCACATTTAGATCCACAGATTGGATCTTCCAGAATCTGGCTGCCATGATCTGTGTAGCCATTATCCCCAGGGGAGCCCTCCCTCAATGGCAGCTGGGCGTTTATACAGTTTCTGGGTGATATTGGTACAAATGTCTGATTACGCCGTGGCTGTGGTTGCATCTGGCAGCATCTCCAGGCATTGGAGCATTGTCCAGGGGCCATCACAATCGGCCCAAGCAACTCCGGGTGATGAGATATTAAGACTCACAAGTTCATGGGCACCACCAATGCCATCCTCCAGACCCAGAGCATGATGCTAGTATTGTAGTATATGTATATACATGACTGGAAGCTGAGTATGAGACTATCTCAATGATACTGGTTATTGCTATGGTCCCGCGGGGCCTCCCAGGAACATCACATGCCCACTCTAGGCGGCAGCCATCTTATTCTGCTATATATGTTTTGGATCTCTCGTTGTACGCCTGTGACTCTGGGGTTTTTACCATGTACAGGCATCAACAGGTATCCAAAATGTGGTTAGGCCATTGGTACAGAAAGACAACAACATTCCTGAAGGATTAAACAACGGTGACAAAAGAGATGGGATTAGTATTATGGTCTTGGGCAGCTAGTTCCGGTTCATGAGCTTGGGAACCATGCCTCCCCTACCTATGTGATCCTTTCTGCCCAACTGCAAGTCAAGTTCACGTCTTATCACCTGGAACCTAAGAGGCAGTGCTATTGTGTGGCTGCGTAACTACTCCCTTCTCAGGCCCCTGTAAAGGCCCATGACAGGCAGGTGCTCGCGCTCTTGGTCACATGCTGTTGTCACCCTGTACTTAAATTATGAGTACACTCCCTGTGCCTGTTTGCTGTGTGGCTTCCTGCGGACAGTCTCTGGGGACAGGTATCTCCTGAACACGGCTCCTGCGTTGTGTAACCCTCACCTCTGTGCTCTGTTTGGGTGGGTCAGTGAAGCTGTGAATGCTAAGAAGCTGTGTATTTCTAATATGTGCACTCTCAATGGTTCCAGAGAAGCTAGCAAAAGATGAATGTGTGCGGTTTTGTAAGTGTGTCCAGGTTATTAGCTGCACTCCCCTTAGGATAAATTAGATTGTGGTGGAAGCTGGATAATTGGTCTTTAATTTAATGGATGGATTTCGCAGTAATGAAAGTTTTTTTCTCTTAGGGTTTGGATTCAGACTGGGACATACTTTTCACTTGTTAATTTCTAGTTTGCACTGACGTAACCAAGCTTAATTAATAAAAAATTTTAATAACCTTAAATGTGACTGGTCTGATCTCTCTTACATCGCACAGCATTTAGGGGAGAGGGGTTCAAGTCTGAACTCCGTGGGACAAGCTGAGTTCACCTTGAATGGGATCTGATCCTGAGAGGGCAATCACTTCAAACTCCTAACAATCACAGTCCAGGGACTCTTGCAGGAGGAAGGCAAGGATGGGAGGAAGCCCGGGGAAACGAGGTGGCATCAGTGAAGTTGAAAAGGGATTTCCAACAGGTGAGCTTCAGAGGGCAGGGGCCCAGGCATGGGGAAGGGCTTGTCCCCTGAGCCAGTGGGACCTCTGACAGTTCCAACACAAGCAGAAGTTCCTGAAGACAGGGGGCTCCCTCACAGGCAGCTTTGCCCGGGGTGAGGGTTGGGGTGGTATGGCTGCTCCCCTCAGCTTCTGGGGACATCTCCAAGCTCCCAGACCATCTGTCTGAACCACCCCTTAGAGTTCCTGGGGATTTAGAGCACCAGACAGTTGAACACTCTGACTCAGAGAGGGGTTGGGGGTGTGCACATCACTGTGGCCTCCAGAAGCAATGGAGCCTAGAGGAACAGTCTATGCCCAGAAGTGTGAGCAGCTCGGTGTCTATTAGCAGGAGTGCAGCTGAGGCTCAGCTGAGCTTCCCTGGTTGCCCAATGTTGCTAGGCATTGTGGCACCTCACAGCTTGCAGGCAACTCCACAGGCAATGGACACAGAAAATGCCTGGCTGGGTGCTGCCAGATTGCTCTGTGTTGTCTCCGCCACTTGTCCACAATAAACCATGACCGTACTCAGCTACCACGAGTTCTTGGAGCCCTTCTTGCCAGCTACTGAAAGTAGCATTTTCTCAGAGATTTCCCCCCATGTTTTTTCCATAATGCTTTAATTTTGTTTTTTCAAGTGAGTGTTACGGAGAATGAGAGAGATCACGTCAGACAGCAATGTAGGTTTGTAAGGAGGAGCCTTCATTGGCCAAGCTTGGCAATGGTAACTCCAGTGACGCTCCAGGAGCCACTGCACTGCCCAGCTGAGTCAGATGAGTTTTAAGCTCTCCCAAACTCAGAGCAGTTCCACTGAACCAACTGGCTACCAACTGCCCTCGTTTCCAGCAGGAGAGCCTGGACCCTCCCATTCCAATGGGCTCAACTGCCTCGTTGAATGAGCCCAATAGCCCACTTGTCCACCTGCTTCCTCACAGCAGTTTTTGTGGGAAGATGCAGGAAGGGCAGGGTGTTTGGATCCACTTGAACCAAATTTTCCATGCAGTCAGAATCTGCAGTAATCCGAGGAATCCTGTGCACTGCTGTGATGTCCTATCACCTGGCTGCACTCCACCGCAGTGAGCACACTGCATGGATTTCACAGCATCAGCACCAAAGAGGTACTTTCTACCATACATCCCTCCTTCCTATGTTCTCACACCACCACCCTCCATCCTCTTTCTTTACTGTTTCTTAAATATTTAAATGACACACTGTGGTAATCCCAATCTCTAGCCACGTGAACTGAAGTGAGGGTGACCTCAGGCTTCGTTAAACTTGAGCATGGTATTTGAAATGAAGGAATCCTCCTGGGGAGATCCTGCCCTCCTGCTGTACACTGGACAAATCCCATTTTAGGTGAGGGGGTGTTCGGGGGGCTGGGAGTCAATGCCCTACACCTTTGCAAGTAGTGTGAGCTATCACTTCCTTCCCTACAGCTGGAAAACTACAAAGGGAGATGGGCTGTACCCCTCAGAGCAAGCAGAGAGGAGCAGGCCTGGGGCAGCCTTTTCCTAAGCCCTGCAGCAGGAGGAGACTGACCCCATTACTGGAATCACCCCTCTGCCGTGTGCAGTCACTCCCTGGGGACGCGGGCTCAGTGTTCCAGGCCTGCATCACAGAGCAACAGAATGGCTTAGAAGGATTCTAGAGGCAAAAGGAGTTGTTCTAGGAGATGGGGATTCGCGGCCCCCCACCTCTGTTCTGCCTGACCTGACAGCCTATCTGGTCTAACTCAATACCCAGCTGTTCTCTGCCTCCCCAGTTACCACATCCTTGTTCCCTTCACGCCACACAGATCCACTGGACAAGCCACTGACCTCATGCGGAAGTTATCTCAGCACCGTGCCCATGTGTGTAGACATGTTCCTCCTGAGGTGATGATCATGGGGCTCTCAGGATTAATACTCTTGTGGGAGAAGTAAAATGCCATCTGTCGGGCCCGGCTCAATAGTGTAGTGGTTAAGGTGCTGGCCTGGAAGGCACCGGGATCCCATATGGGCGCTGGTTCTAATCCTGGAAGCCCCACTTCCTATCCAGCTCCCTGCTTGTGGCCTGGGAAAGCAGCGTAGGACCACCCATGACTTTAGGACGCTGCACCTGTGTGGGAGATCCGGAAGAGCTCCTGGCTTCAGACTGGCTCAGCTCCAGAAGTTGTGGCCACTTGTTGAGTGAATGATTGGATGGAAGATCTTCCTCCCTGTCTCTCCTCTATGTGTATATGCCTTTCCAATAAAAATAAATTAATCTTTAAATAAAACTTAAAAAAAATACCCTCTGTCCCCACTGCACCTCTGTGCATATGCAGAGAAGAGCTGAGCACGCAGCATGGTAATGACAAAGTATATAATCCTACCAATAGTTCAGTTTTAGCTCTATATTGACAAATAACAGCTCTCTGTGTTATAGATTTATTTTTAGCATGTCATTAATGTAATTTTTAATCAAGAAGAGATGGGCTATGATGGGAAAGAATTCCATCCCATCCCTCAGTACTGCACGGAAAGGACCAAGAGACCAGAGGAAAACCATCTGCTCAGTTGGAGACCAAACATCAGATCAGGGGTCTCAGGACACGTAACTTACCAAGCGAGGGTTTGAGTGCTAAACGATGACCAATATCCTTGTCTGACACTTAGTACTACAAAACCAAATGACAGCACCAAATACACAAGACTAGGATGCCTTTAAATCTCATGTTCTGGACAGAAAATTTTGGAATGGAAAGTAATTTGGAACACTTAAAAATCCAAGTAACTGGGAGGAAATTTAAATAAGGTTGAAAAAGTGTCAAATTTAGCAAAAGAATGACAGGAATTCTCCTGAAATCGGCTGAGGACAACAGTGTAAATGCCTTTTCAAAAAAGCATCACGTGGTACATGGAGCCCTGCCCCATTTCTTCTCTCTCCTGTCCCAGGACCAGAAAGAATGCATTGAGGTGTTTGTGCCCACTGAATAAACAGCGTTATTAGCTATCTTCTCTTGCAATCCCATCTGGAATAACACAACAGAGACTCATGTTATTGGTCTCAGAATCCTCACTCTCTTTCGCACAATTCCAACCCTCAAACCATTCAGGAAGAAACCAGTCCCTGCCCCAGAAGGTCTCAGACCCAATCAACTCAACACCACCCAGGGTTTGGCTCCCCCTTGTTCCACCACCATGAACATTTCCTCCATCTACTCTGTCAACACACCCCTGATTCTCCTCCCTGCCCCAAACCTGGCTCCCTCTTCTCTACACATTCTTCACAGCGCGTTGGACCGCACTCTGCGGGGCTCCCCCCAACCGCTCTGATTTCCCTCTCTTTCTTCCTCACATTTGTTAGCCTTCTGCTGGAGAATGACGCTGGCCACCTGCCCTGGGGAAGGACTTACTTCAGGGGGTGAGAGCCAGGGGTCAGTGTCCACAGGGATGGGGACCCCGCCAGGCTCCACCTCAGAACCATGGAAATGGCGACTGCTGAGCTTGCGCCTCCTCCGTGAAGGACAGCACACTGACCCTCACACGCCAATGTGACCACAGGACACAGAAGTGCTCCTGGGGCGCGGGAACCACTGGCCAGCACAAACGGACAGAGTAGGCTGGAAGGAGAAAAGGGAGACTCGATCACCCGGCAGCACCACAGACCTCCCGCCATCTACATCCGGGTCTGCAGGAAGCAGTGTGCATGCGCAGGAAGCAGTGTGTCCTGTGATGTCAGAGCCGGCCGTCATGGAAACACAGGCCTCTTCCGGCAGGCCCGGAAGTAGATCCCAAGGATGGGAAAGAAATTTGCATGCGGTATGCAATTCATGGAGTCATGATTTCAGTTGTTGGAGAAAAAGTGTCTCAGCTCATGTGAACGGGATGAGGTGACGTGGGGATCAATGTCCAGAAGAAGAGTAATCATCACGAATTTGTGGTCTTTGGGCTGTCCTGATTGGCAGTCACGTTCCAAGGTGCCTTAAAACTTAGCAACATGTCCAGGACCCAGCTTTCATCATAGATCCCATGACCACATCCATGCACACTCCGTGAGCTCGAGCTTGCCTCCGTACAATCAAGTGCCCACTGCTTGGGGGATTCCCAAATGAGAGAATGACTGGGCAGAAGGCTACAGCTGGATTCTTGAAGATTAAATCTAAGTAGTCATCAACAAGAGAGAAAACTCGAGAAATTCCATGATAGCTTGTGAGAGCTAGATCTCTCCCTTGACAAGGCCCTGGTGACCGGCCCTCAGCAGCCAATGACTGATGGCTGAGCCGGTGGGTTCTGCACAGGAGGGTGAGGCCTGGGCTGCAAGAGCCATGGGGACTGAAACACAGCATCTTCCTTAAGCCACCCTCCTCTTAGAAATATGCACTTCAACTCTTCTTAAATGCTCAGGCATCTCAGAGTTGAGTGTGTCCTTGAAGCAGCATTCACAGAGCAGGAATCATTGGCAGGAAGGTCAGACACGTCCTCTCTCGGGGGTCATTAACCTCTGTGAGATACACAGCACTACCATTTTGATCATAAAGTTAGGGATCACTTGTAGAGATCCAGATACGGATTGATCTAAATTGCACCTTTCATGAGTAAAATGGGGAATTAAACCTACAGGCTTGTCAGAGCAATGCAGTTCAACTTGCTGTCCCAAAACTATCGGCTTTGGTCTTAATTCAACAAGGTGTATATTATGTCATTTTCACACCATGAAGTTTTGTTTTAGATTGCCACTCCTTCATAACTTTGCTTGAATTAAAACACTAGCAATGTGAAAACATTTGTTATTTAGGCCAATGATAGCTATTCATCAATCAAATTTAGATACCTTAGCAAAACTTAGACTAGGATATGATAATGAATATATAAGGACCTATCTTACATAATTTATATAGGATGCATGCAAAATTTCCACTATACTGAGAGGAAAAGAAGATCTTGATTTTATACCAAAATCAGTACTGCACCCTTGCTAGAAACAACTGAAATACATTCAACATTCTAAAGTGTGAGAATTTAATAACACATGAAACAACATTCTAGGAGAGAATCTTAATGTCACTTCTCCCAAGTCACATATATTGATGAACACCTGCATCAAATAAGAGGAATAAAGAACGATCTGGGAAGCACCTTCAAGTGAAAGACACATAAACAAGAGAACATGTAAGTGAGCATCATGGAACACACCTACACTTCACCTGCTCATTCGAAGCAAGGCCTTCTCTCTTCAGAGAATCCAGAACAGAGCCTGGGCACTCTGGAGTCATGGCTCAGGAGAATGTAGGGGCTCACAGCTGGGAAGCTCCCGGTGAGGAGTGCCGAGGTGTGCACCAGCCACCAACTGGGCGTTTCTACAACAGTGAAGCAAATATGAATGATGGTGGAGACGGTGCACAAAGACACAAAGGTGCTCACCAGGACCAGGATGCTGTGCGTGGCTCTGGATGCTGGGGAGCACCTGCTGGAGGTGTTGCTCCTACGGATGTGCTGCACCTGCTGCTTGTGCCTGTACAGGGTGAGAACCATGAAGCCGCTGGACCACAGCAGGAGCCCCACAGAGCAGACGTCTCGGGAGAACACGAAGGCTGCATACAGGGATTTTGTGACTACACCTTTACTCACTGAGTAACAGGAGCCATGATCAGTTTTCTTGGTGATATTTTTGTCGTTCCTGCTCCTATACATATGTAGAGGTACCATGACATCAACCATCAGGTTCAGCATCCAGCAGAGGATGTTGCAGGGACCAATGTACCTGGGAAGTTTGGCTTTGAGCTCTGCCCACCTGGAGCTGTTGGGACTGATGGTGATGGCCTGGGACACACTCAGGAGGGAAGTGGTGTTAATGGACACATCCCTGCCCACCCTGTACACATAGAACACAAGTTTGCACCCCATGTCACTCAGGAAGTCCTTCACCCCAAAAGCTGCCATGGTCTGAATGACTCCATTAGAGAGAATGACTAAGCAGTTGGCGACAGTCAGGTGTCGGATAGTCAAGTCTGTGGGCCTGAACTTGCATCCTGTGTAGTAGAGATGGACGTAGTGGGAAAGAAGACAGAAATTCCCCAGCATTCCAATGCTGACTTGTGATAAGAATAACATCCCAAATGGCAAATCTCGGGCGCCCATCCGCTCAGCTCCTGAAGCCTCTTTATTCTCTCTGAGACTGAGACTCCTGCGTGGGAACATGTATTAACGTCAGCTAGAGCTCAGCCTTCTCTACTCACACCTTCCCCACTGCATCGGCTCCTCTTTAGAAATAATGACATCAACACTTTCCTTTACCAATGTTTCACAAGAGTCATAGACTTAGACGTGATGCCACCTCCAAAATGCTACTCGCTGATACGGAGACACACACGTGGACATTCCCATGTTCTCCACAGCTCCTTGAGAAGCAACGCTCGTCCAATTCTTTGGAGATTAAATGATCTCTTAGGCAGGTCCAGGCTAGTCACCCCACCATCGCTCTGTGTGGCTGCCAAGTGCTGAGGGGAACACCGCTTGGCTTGCACAAAGACAGTTCAATTAACTTAGTGCTACTCTAGCTGGGCAACTTAGCTGTGCTCTCCTCATAACACCCATGTATCCTTACATATTCGCATGTCTAGTTCATTTCTCTTAGGTGAGTGGAACTTTGTTTTATCAAGGTTATCTTTAACCTGAAGACTTAGTCCATAACATAACAATATAATGCGGCATTTGGGTCATGTTAAGATACAAATAAACGGATCATTTTCTAGTATTTCCTCTTTGAAAATAGGTGTTTAATACAAACTTGGTTGTATATTGAGAAGGCAGCAGAAACACTGTTAGGCGGTTACACCAGGAAGAGATTACACCAACCACTGAACATACGCTGTGCATTACAAGTCACAGCGCCTGCCCGTGGTGAGATCACGTGTGGTGGATAATCAACTGCATTGCAGTCACTGCCACATTTATATCCTTACTAATCCTTAAATAAAAACATCACCCACAAGGCAAGCTTTCTAAAAGTTAATGTGGTATTAGCTGTATCACATGAAATCTCCACAGCAGCTAATCTGTGTAAGTTGAAATGGAGGATCTTGCTACTCAGATGAGAGTATTTTCAATCCAGAACAAATGTCAGAAGCCACGTGTGTGCGTGCTGCTGCCGCGTGAAACCATTACTGTAAGACCGCGGTGCCTTCTGCTCGAATCTGCTCCTTTCTTAAAGGAAAACAAGCTTGTCATAGCTAAGGGCATTTTTATTTCACTTAGTGGAAATCATTTTCTGGTCCCACTGAGCACTTCATAGAGCTGACTCGCAGCAACCCTTTCTATGCCTGCAATTGCCGCTTAAACTCAGCTTTTGTCTTGTTTTGGTTTGTTTGTTTGATTTCATGACAAGATTCCGTAGGTTTGCCCAGTGTGTACCACGGCATGCACGGTTTTACAGCTGCATCTCTAGCAGTGAGGCAGTGTCATCTATAACACCCGTCCCGTGCACTGAGTATTACATTTAGGTCAGACCTGCAGTCCCTGCGTACATTTCATCATGATTCTGATCAAACACTGAGAGCCACCAACATCGTGGATGACCCCAAATTACAGCAGGAGCCACCAGGACTCGGTGTGGTGTGGGACCCCAGCTCCCTGTCCTGACTCGGCACACATCTCAGAATCCTTCCCCACGCCTGGGCGGCTGGGCCCAGCGCCAGGTCACACAAGGACAACTCCCTCCCTCGCAGGATCACTCACCCAGGACAACCATGCACTTGGCCGTTCGAAGCCCGTCTTACTCTCGAGTAGCAAAGAGGCTGCCAGGACCAGCACCTGCATCGAGGTCATTGTGGCCAGTCACGGTGAGGATACAGGCAGCTGCAGCACTAGAAATGGGTCCGGGACTGTGACCTCACCTCCCTTCAGACCTGCAATTATCTCTTCACTCACAAATGCAGGAGAACACAAATGAAGTGGTGAGAATATTTGTGAAAAACTTTCCCCTCCTGCTAATTACCAAGATGAAATGCAGCTTCGTGGTGATGCTCTCCAAGGACGCTGTGACAGCCTTGCAGGGGCTCTTTCTCTCCCCGGATCCCTGAAGCAGCTCAGTTCTCCCTGAGACAGCAGGAGGCTCAGGCCACCACAGGGCAGCACTGCAGGCGAGCTGGTGTGTCTCCTGCGCTCACAGCGCATGTCTGTCTGCCCCACAGTGACTTCTTTCCTAAAGTCCAGAGCCCTCGGCTCAGCATCACTCACTGCGGAGCAGAGCAAGGTGGAGAACGCTCCTGAGCAAGGGCTTCAGAGATGCAGGTGCAAGGAAGCCCATGCTGAGCCTGGTTCACTGGAGACACCGCTGGTTTGCTGACGCCCGGTGGCCGGGGCCTGGAATTACAGCGGCTGTTGGAGCCCATCATCCTTTACTAGTGTTTACGTCACTTCCTCAGCTCTAGGAGATACAGGAAGTAAAGGAAATAATGTTCCTACAGATACAGCAGGGTGTACGTCCGCCCTGAGAAAACTCATCACAGCAGATTCACGGTCCTTTCACTGCCAGATGAGCCATATCAACCTCCCCAAGTCAACGGATCTGAGTGGTCACGGTGGACCCCGTTCCTCCCCCACTGCTCTCACTGTTATTGGTCTCTCTCTCCCTCTCTGTCTCTCTCTCTCTCTCTGTCTCTCTCTCTGTCTCTCTCTCTCTGTCTCCCTCTCTCTCTCTCTAATTCTGCCTTTGAAGCGAATAGATCTTTATGAAGAATTGTATGTGCTGCCCTAGATATAGCAGAGAATTCTATTTGAAATCTCTCCCCATTTTTTCTGAGTTTTGATTGCTTCGAATTTATATTATCACATAGTCCAAATAGGATTTGTGCTTTCCGCACCTTGTTACATCTTTCACTAGAAATAAAAATGTGTTAGAAAGAGGCGTCAGCCTGTATTTGCTAGTATGAATACCATCTTGTATAACCTGTGTCGATTTGAAATTGCTCTTACAAGAGAAGAAAGATGCTTTTTGGTACATTCCCATGAATTGTTCTTAGAAATACTTCATTAATATAAAGATAGCAGATTTCATGGTTTTCAAAAATAAATTCAGAATACATAAGGATTCTTTCTTCCTTGACCCAATTCTTCCTTTAACTTGTGTAGTGACATAGTTTCACATCATGTCATTTACTGAATACTCCACGAAATAATATTCAACAGGTAAAAAGAAAGACCACTGTCTCACAGCAATTCCGCCACGTCACAAGACGTTGATTCTACTCATGCCTGTTCAGGGTTTGGGACTCTGTATGTTAGCGACCACAAGCCTGAGAAAATCCGATATTCCTCTTTTGGGGTCTGGCTTATTTCACTAAGCTTAACGATCTCCAGTGGCGTCCATATTGTTGTAAAAGATAGGAATAAAGGAATCTGTCCTTTATTATACATGAGTAATGGTCTATCTCACACACACACACACACACACACTTTATCACCTTCTGAAGGACATCTGGCTTGATTGCTTGTGTGAGCTTTCAGGGTTTAAGCATCTCTTCCTGGATCTCAGACATGTCATCTGTGGCTAACCAGAGTTCCAGGAGCTTCACTCTGTGTTGGCTGCTTTCTGCCTTCTGCTGGCCTGCCCAGCCATTCTGTGCCCTGGCCAATGCAGACGCCCTGCCCTCAGCCCCGCCCATGGCCCCACCCACAGCCCCCCACAGCCCTCAGCCCACAGCCCTGCCCATAGCCCTGTCCACAGCCCCCCACAGCCCTGCCCACAGCCCTCAGCCCACAGCCCTGGCCTCAGCTGACAGCTTCCCTGGAAGTGCTTCCACTGTTCACGCGGAGCCTGGAGCTTGCTGGAGTGTCCTTGCTTCATAAAGTTCTCACCAGATTCTGTTTTCCATGATTGTTAATTAATCAGTAACTTTTTGGAGAATGTATTACTTTCATTCACTTCTATTTCATTCTGTTTGTAACACATCTACTAATCTTCCTAGTTTTATTATTGGAAAAACTACATTTGTTGTCATTAATGTCCAAATACCTAAATTTAAATGCATAAAATCATATTGATAATATGTTCATTTAGTGGAGATTGGAGATGCAGAATTATGTCACCACATGAGGGACCAAATTTGCAATACATGTGTCACTGGCAGGTGGGCTTAATCTGTGTCCACATCGTAGAAGCCCTTGTCCCAGAACATGAGCACGTACCAACCCAGAAGCTTCTGAGGCCTTCAGGCGTTCACGAAGGTTGCCTTACACAGCGATGTTACAGCCACTACTCATTAGTGAGTCATTTAATCTCTGATCTCTTCCCTCCTCCTGGTCAAGGAGATGAGGATCAAAGTTCCAACCCTGTCCTCATTGCTCATCTGTCTGGCAGCCAGCTCCCACCCCGTAGCTACCCAGAGGCCCACCGAGAGGGACCTCACCAACATCAACTGGGGTAGGGCTGAAAAAGGATTATCATTTAAATATAAGACTCCTCTTACTCCGTAAGGAAATTCTAAGGATTTTCGGGGCACTGTGTGAGGAACATGGGCCATAGAAGAAAGATGTTATTCATATTATGTCACAATACAACTCACAAGGAGAAAATTCTAAAGCCCTACTCAAGAGAAAAGGGCCAGGACTTATTTCGAATCATTGCCCTTCACGCACTGCAATCCATTGTGGGCACCAGTTCACGTCCCAGTAGCTCCCCTTCCCATCCAGCTCCCTGTTGTGGCCTGGGAAAGCACCAGAGGATGGCTCAAAGGCTTGGGACCCTCCAAGGAAGTTTTTGTTTTTCTTTCTCATTTCTTACGACACATTAGTCATTCAGCAGTACATTATTTTAGTTCATGGTGTTGTAAATTTGTCACCTTTATTCCTGTTGTTGATTTTGTTTTCTGGCTTCTCATTTAAGGGAATACACAGCAACTGTGTAATAGATATTATCATATCCAAGTGTGAGTATACAACGCAGGATGCATCTCGACTTCCAGATCAAAGATGGACTCCCAATGAAACCATTAAATATATCTTGGCAATAGGATGCTGCACTCTCGGCCGTTGTCTGTGCCCGCAACATCAGGACACACTAACTAGCAGAATGACGGACTTCTGACTGCTTATGCAGGACTGTACTCTCGTGATAACATAGGAGAACTCCGTGGTGGGGAGGGAAATTGAGGCGTGGGTAAGGGAAATCCCAGAGCCCATGGAATATGGAATTAAACTAGAGGAAGAAAAAAGAAATTAGCTAAGATTGAAAGATAAGATTGTATGTGCTATGCTAAGATTTTGCATTTATCTTATAACAGTAAATGTTAAATGTTCTAAAGTGAAATGCAGTGTGTGAGAATATGAGGTTATGTCAAAAATTCCATGAACAATAAAACATGAGTTTTAGTGCAAAAGGGCAATTTGACAAACTTTAAGTCTTTTCTGAATCACATATTACAAATGATATAATTGTTTTAAAGAATCTTTGCAAGTATATCATTTAGTATTAATAAATGAAATAAACATGTTTAGATTTGATTATTCATTATAACTTCTCCTATTCCTTCTGGATCATGAAAATTTCATATGATTTTATGAGCTGATTTAATTTAATCTAATGCATTATTAAGCCTTTGACCATAAATTAAAAAGGTTAGTCAAAATTTCCTAAATCCATAAAAATAAAACTCTAAAATACATTTTGTTCGTAAATTTAAAGATCAATGGACTTCTTGCATATCCTTCCAATGTGTCTACAGGTATGTAAGTTCATGTGACTGTGACTGTGTGAGTGTGTGTGTGTGTGACTGTGTGTGTGCGACTGTGTGTATGTGTGACTCTGTGTGTGTGTGACTCTGTGTGTGACTGTGTGACTGTATGTGTGTGTGAGTGTGTGTATGTGTGTGTGAGTGTGTGACTGTGTGTGTGTGTTGAGACTTGGGACTGTCACTATTCAGGCTCCCCTTACTGACTTGGAAATGAGCGGTCATTTAAGACAGCTGTAAGACCAAAACCGTGCACTACCAGCTCATAGAAAAAAAAAAAAAAACAGAATTGACTCACGCATCCTGCTGTCACCTAACTTATTGTAGAAACAACCAAAATAGTACTAAAAGTTCACGTACACATAGATAGGAGATCATGAGAGCAGCTCAATGCTTTCAAAAGAAAAAATTGGAGACATTTAGGACAATGTAACACTGATATGTTCAATCATTTGCCTGCAATACCATAGTTCGTCTGGCTATGAATATTGTTCTATTGAACCTTCCAACTACTTTGGAGCTGAGGAGGCTGCATATTGATCAAGTACATTGATCAATGTCCGAGCGATCAGTACCTCCAAAGCCACTGGCCTGGAGATTTATGAGTCCTCTCTGGTGGAGAAGAGCTGTGGTCGCTTTCAGTCTTGAAAATCCTTCTGAGCTATGTCGCTCTTTTCTCTTTCTCTGCCACTGATGAGAGCACGGTACAGCTCAGCGGCCTGGAGATGGGGAGAGAACACAGCTGTTGGCAGATAGCTTGTCAGGGAGCAGACAGTGCAATGAGGCATGCCTGCTTCCACACCAGTCCCTCCTGCGTGAGACCTCAGTATTCCCCGCTCCCTCCTCGTGAGCTTCTGGCTGCCTCCAGGGATCCAGGGAGAGTCTCCCCAACACTGCCATGAGCCCTTGGAGAAGGCTCCCTTAAACTGAGTCTAGTCATTAACAGCCACAAAAACGTTCTGCACAAACATCCTTTCCGCAGACAGAACAGGTGAAAGGATGATTGTGGCTCCAAGGGGAGATGACGTCACACCTCTCAAACCCATATCCCAGGACTTGAGTGACTTCCCCCAGGTAGCACTGGCTGTTGCCATGGGATGGAGCCCTCAGCCCCTGCAGCCTGAAGGTGCCCCAGGACAGAGGCTGCTGGCTCCAAGAGGCAGATGTTAGCCAGCAAGCATGTCAGAAGTCCGGGTAAGTGAACTCTGCAAGCGGTGGCTCCTCTGGGTGTGAGGGTGACCCCGGGCCACCTCAACAGGCAGAGGAACACGCTGAGGGTGAGATGGGGTCCTACACCCATCATCCTTGAATGTTTTCCACAAGGGCTGTGATTGTTGGTGATTGGTGCAGGAGAGAACAGAAGCTGGCTGTGAATCAGCTTAAGAATTATGGTTGTAAAATCCACCTGCTGGTGACCCGCCTACAGGCGGCAGAGATCAAGCCCTCAGGAGGCTGAGGCATGCTCTTGGAACCTCCGTGCTCCCCGTATATTAGAGTACATCCACGGGGGTCATCGAATCTTTCATGAAAAATATCTGCACAGCTATGATTGAAATAGACATGTTCTCTCTAACTCCTTACTGAGACGGTCTTTGCTCCCGGAAGCACCCATGTCTGCTGATACAGGGGGCCGACAAGCTCCATCCTCAGGGTCAAGAAGTGAATCGGAGACCAGGTGCTTACCCTGTGATTTAGATGCCCTCATCCCTCGTCGGGCTCCCCATGTTCAACCTTCCATCAGCTCCTGCCCCTGATGCTGTATCTTCTTGTCAGTTCAGACCTGACAAGACAGCAAGTGATGATTCAAATCCTTGGGTCACAGCTACCACGTAAGAGACCAGAATTGACGGCCAGCTCTTGGCTTTGCTCTCGTCCAGTCCTTAGCCATTGCCAGCTTATGGGAGTGATCCAGTTTAAAAGAGCTCTCTCTCTCACAATCTCTCGCTCCTTCTCTCTTCTCTCCTCTCTCTTACTCTCCCTCTCTGCTTACACATCCTCTCCTCTCTCTTCTCTGTCACATTGACATATGACAGTTACATTACAAGTAATGTGACATAGTCATGCACGAATGCATAGCAAAGCACTATGGTTAAACCAAATGTCACCAATCTCTATTTGTTATTACCTGACTGAAGCAAAAGTATGAGCAATACATTGTGATGTCTGAAAGACAGTAAAACACAAGCTACCTATGGAATGAAGCCTCAGTCTGATGTATTTGAATTTCATGAAATGATTGAACTTAGTCTAAAATGAGATTATTTTTAACTGATAAGATATTGATATGTTTGAGCTTGAATATGCTATGGCACATATAAATTCTTACATCATCATATACTCTTTAATAGTCCTTTCTTGTTTAATTTTACAAATCTATTTGAGAAGTTGAATGGGAATACAGAGACTTTGCAGACTCTAATGGTCCATTCCTCAGTGACAGCAAGCTACAAGAACTGGGCCAGGCTGAATACAGGCCGGATCACCACCCAGGTGGCCCAGGAGGCACAAGGACTTGATCCATCTGCTGCTGCCTTTCAGGTGTATTACCAAAAATCTGGACTGCCAGTGACGTATGCGTGACTGCAACCAGTGGTGCAATATGGGTTGGCAGGGTCACAACAGGCAGCTTAACCCACGGTGCCACATCAGCCCCAAACTGTGTTCTTTACTGACAATTTATTTTTTTAAGATTTAGTTACTTACTTACTTAGTTAAAGACATATTTAGTTATTTTAAAAGGCAACCGACATGGGAGTGTCATTTGAGTACTGGCTATCCCTCTGCTGCTCCGCGCTGTGTGCCTCGGGGACTCTCCCAGGCTGCCGGATTCATTTCGGAGAGTGAACCAGTGGGTGGGAGACCTACGTGTAGTTAGTTCTACCTTTCTCTGTGAAATTTCTGCCAAGCAAATAAATAAGTAAATATTTTCTTTAAATCTTCAGTGTGAAACAAAGCAACAGCCTTCACATCTAACATGCGTGATGCCAATGATCTAACAGAAGTGTGATAGTTCCTGTACTGTGGAGGTTCTGATTCAACACGATGGGTGCCATGGAGATCATACACTCAGCTGCTGGGGACCTGTAAGTCAAGAAGCAGCACCAAGGAAGTGCGTCTAAGATGTGGACTCTGCGCTGATGCCTGCATCTGGTCTGTGCTTCACATTCCCAGGCAGGGATCTCTGGCTCAGAAGACAATCAGTGAGCCCCAGGAAAGGTCACAATGGCCATCGGGAGCTTGGCAATAGGAATCATCTTCTCCTTACAGACTGCAGCTGGAATTCTGGGGAATTTCTCTCTTCTTTCCCATGATCTCTATCTCCACTTCACAGGATGCAAGTTGAGGTGCACAGATGTGACTATCAGACACCTGACCTTAGCCAACTGCTTAGTCATTCTCTTTAGGGGAACCCCCCAGACCATGGCAGCTTTGGGGATGGAGGGCTTCCTGAGTGACATGGGGTGCAAACTCGTGTTCTATGTTCACAGAGTGGGCAGGGATGTGTCCAAAGGCAGCACCTGCCTCCTGAGTGTGTCCCAGGCCGTCACCATCAGTCCTAACAACTCCTGCTGCAGGGACCTTAAAATTAAAACTCACAGATACATTGGCCCCTGCAATATCCTCTGCTGGGTCCTCAACTTCATACTAAATGTCATGACACCTGTGCATATGACTGGCAAAAGACACAAAGAAAACATCACAAAGAGAACTGATTACGGCTACTGTTCCTCAATACCTAAGGAGAAAACTGCAAGCTCCCTGTACATATCCCTGTTGTTCCTCCACGACGCTCTCCCCGTGGGGCTCATGCTCTGCGCCAGCGCCTTCATGCTGTCCTTCCTGCACAGGCACAAGCAGCAGGTGCGATACATCCGCTCTCACAGTGCCACCCTCAGGTGCTCTCCCGAGTCCAGAGCCATGCAGAGTGTCCTGATTCTGGTGAGCGTTTTTGCATCTCTGAGCATGCTCTCTTTCATCTTGCATGTCTGTGTGCCTGCTCTAAACAATCCCAGTATGTGGCTGGTGCACACCTCGGCATTCATTGCTGGGAGCTTCCCAGCTGTGAGCCCCTACATCCTCATGAGCCATGACTCCAGAGTGCCCAGGCTCTGCTTTGCTTGCCCAAGGGATGCCAAATCCTCTCCACTCAGAGTAAGTGTGTAACATGAATGCATAGTCACAATATTGAGCAGTTCATTTATTGCTCTTCCTTTGAGATGAAGCACATTGTGGAGACATGCACATAGGAGCATTTGCTTGTGCCTATAAAGTTGCAAATGAAGTTCCCTAATCATCATGGACACACATTTCTTAATGCCTTCTGTGATGCTGTTCAGAGTCTTTGTAGGGTCAGTAGGGTGGAGTCTGAATCAACCCAGGGATTATGGCACGGTCTTGGTGCGAGCTGGCTTTCAATCTCACATGGTACATTTTCCAGAACTTACTTATGAGATTGTACGAAATATTCTTTGAGGCACAAATGCTACAAGCGACAACCACCAATAGCAATTAAGTTAAACAGAGACAAATCGTAGTCTGGAATTTCATCAGAGAGTCGGTTCATTTCATATAAGTCCCAGGTGACTTTTGCACTTTGCTTTCTTTTGTTTTTAAAGATTTATTTTTATTATTATTATTTTTTTTATTGGAAAGGCAGATATACAGAGAGAGAGAGACAGAGAGGAAGATCTTCCGTCCGATGGTTCACTCCCCAAGTGAGTGCAACGGCTGATGCTATGCCGATCCGAAGGCAGGAGCCTCTTCCAGGTCTCCCACACGGATGCAGGGTCCCAAAGCTTTGGGCCGTCCTCAACTGCTTTCCCAGGCCACAGGCAGGGAGCTGGATGGAAGCGGGGCTGCCGGGATTAGAACCGGTGCCCATATGGGATCCCGGGCGTGCAAGGCGAGGACGTTAACCACTTGTGCCACCGTGCTGGGCCCTAACACTTTGCTTTCTTAAAGCAAATTCATTATTTGTGCATTGCTCTTGCAAAGAGAAAAGATATATTTTTTGTATTACTAATATCATCATTATCATTTTCATGGTACATTTTGTAGGTATGATAGGATTCTTTCCTTTTTCCCTTCCACATTTTGCCTCATATTATCACAACGGTATAGTCCTATGGTAATAGGTACAAGTTTAACCTTCTGTCATTGACATGTATCATGGCATTGTGGGGATAGACAAAGGTAGAATATCTACTGTGATTCCGCCAAGACCTTTTAAAATATTTAATTGGGAGTCCCACTTTTATTCTGGAATAGAGGCATCTCTACTTGCGTGTTCACTCGTCTTCATTATATAGTTCATCTGTGAGAACACAGGTATAGGCTTGATTACATATCTGTTTAGTTTTTGTTTGCATGAAGGCTGTCTTGTATCAGATAAAACGTATGCTATCTATCCTTCTGGGACTGGCTTATTTCACTAAACAGAGTGAACTCCAGTTGGGACTGCTGTGTTACCAATGGTAGAAATGAAAACATTCATGAAGAATTGCTCTATTAGGGGCCGGCACTGTGGCTCAACAGGCTCGTCATACTCCTTCAAGCACTGGCATCCCATATGGGCACCAGTTCCTGTCCTGGCTGCTCCACTTCCCTTGCAGCTTCCCACAGGTGTCCTGGGAGAGTAGCAGCAGGGGACTGTCCAAGTCGGGACCCTGAAGCGCCTGACTCCAGGCCTCAGGCTAGCGCATCTCTGGCAACTGCTGAGTTCAAGTTTGTGGCCATTGTGTGTGTGAATCAGCGGAGGGGAAATCATTCCCTCTGTGTATCTCCTTCTCTCGGTAAAGCTGCCTTTCCAATAAAGAGAAACAGATCTTTTTTAAAAAAAAAAAGAACAGAAATGCTGAAATGGGCTAAGATGAGATACCGAGAGCATACAATTGTGTTTGGATGATGTTTGAAAAACAGTAAGTGAATATTGAATATGCCAACAATTCATGCTGCATGACATTCACAAATGGATTGAAAGGTGCGCCTTTAGGAGAATCAAGACGGCTGAATAGGGTATGGGCATGTTTAAACGGGTGGATAAACATTTAATCAGGATGAAGCAGAGAGGACACATTCCAGGAAACAGCAGAGGGATATCTAGAGACTGACAGACACAGGAAAGCAGCGGACACAGTGGTGTGGTGTTGCAGTGACTGATACTCCAGCAGCCTTCAGCTAATGGCGATCTGCACTCCACCAGCAACCAGGTGGGAAGGGACTTTCACTGGGAGCTTGGGAGGTGAACCCCGACAAAGAACTGTCCATCCTGCTGGTCTGTTTGATTTGATCAGGAGCAGAGACAAAGTGGCCGATCCTAGATGGACAGTGTGAGAACAGGGTGGATTTACAGCCCAGTCAGCCCCCAAGAACCAAATTGGATGCCGTTTTGCGTAAGGAGGCAAAGGCAAGGGAAAGGACTGAGCACACGCTGAGCTGGGAGGGAACTCATTTCTGACTCAGTGAACTGCAGCAACGTGGCATTCTACAGGTTCCACCTAAGACAGGTCCAGGTAGCCCTCACACCTGATGGCCAGCAGATCAAGAAATCTAGTAGCGGCATGTAGGCACCATTTTGTACACTGTGGCAAAAGCTTTAGGACTGCGGGGACAACAGTGAACTGCACATGTGCTGAGTTTGCGAGAACTCACTGAGTTCCGTGGGTTGCACTGGTCCCGCAGGAAAAGAATGCCAACGGTGGCATCATACGGGTCAAAATAGGTCCGTGTGGCACCTAGACCTAATGACCAACAGGTTCTGGCAAGATCAGTGTCACCAACAGCCTAGCTTTATAGGCCAACTGCTGTTTCCCTAATCCTGGGACCTGCTACAACCAAAAGTGGGAGAAAGGTTGTACAGACAACGGTGTAGCCTCGGCACAGTAGCACAGGAGGTGGAGAGTGGTGAGCCAGGAGCTGGGGCTATGGATCAAATGATCTTCACCAAGACACATGATCATCAAGCTCTCTTCAATTGAACATAAGGAAAAGATCCTTCAATGTGCACATGAAAAAAAATCAATTGACATATAAAGGAATGCCAATTAAACTCACAGGAGATCTCTCACAGGAAACTCTACAGGCAAGAAGAGAATGGAGTGACATATTCCAGATGCTAAAAGAAAAAAAAATTATTGACCCAGGATAAGATATCCAGCAAAGCTTTCTTTTGTCTTTGAAAATGAAATAAAATTCTTCCACAGTAAAGAAAAGTTAAAAGAATATGCCTCTTCCAAACCTGCTCTACAAAGGATACTTCAAGATGTTCTCTTGTCAGAGAAGAGGAATAGCACCCAGCAAAACCAAAGGCAAATGGGAAGAACATCCCAGTAAAATGACAACAGAAGACTAAACCAATGAACAACCCATTGCTAAAATGACAGGACCAAATTACCACCTATTTGTTAACCCTGAATGTAAATAGCTTAAGCTCAATCAAACATCATAGATTAGTAGACTGGATTAAAAAACAAAACCCATCTATTTGTTGCCTACAAGAGACATAGTTCACCAACAAAAATCGGCGGAAATTATATCGCGTGGGTTTTGATGCTTTCTGTTGGTTTAATCTCTTCAAAACACTTTCTTCCGATTAAATCATTCAATGACTCACAGATCATACCGTAGCATCATTTTCTTCAAGAAGGTTCTTGATTTTCATTTCTTAAGCTACACGTCAGTCATTTAGTAACATGTTATTTAACTTCTTGGTGTTGTTAAATTCTTTTTTTTCCCTGATGTTGATTATGTTTTGTGGCTCTTCATTTAAGGGAAGGTATAGTAGCTGTGCAATGGAGACTGTCATATCTAGTAACATGTCATTTAACTTCATGGCATTGTAAATTTCTATTTTTCTTTCTACTGTTGATTTTGTATCATGACTTTTCATTTGAGGGGATGTACAGTAGCTGTGAAATGGAGACTAACATATCCAGATGTGAGGCTACAATGCAGTATGCATCTCTACTTCCAGACAAAGATGGACTCCCAGTGAAACTGTTCACTATATCTGGACAGTAGGATGCTGGACTCTCCCATTGTCCATGCCCGCAATGATGGACATGTGACTGTGTATGAAGAACTATATATTAGTAATGATATAGAGAAACTAGGTGGGGGAGGGAACTGGGGCTGGAATAAGGGAAATATCAGGAGCCTCTGGAACTATATCATAATAAATAAATAAATAAATAAATAAACCCTGGTTCATAAACAAAAAGAGAGAGAGGCATATTTTTAGTTGACATGAGATGGTTCAGAGCAAACAATATTAGAAAACTGTAAATGATGAAATACATTGCATAGTCGAAATTAGAAGAGTAATATCTGCTTTAGTCTTAAACCTGCTTTAAAATATATGAAGTGCACTAATTCACAGTGTGGTGCTTCAATATTTGTATGCATTGTTCAGCACATCAATCAGATACTCATCTCTATCACCTCAAACACTTGACATTTAATTTCAAAAGTCTCCTTTCCTGTCACCTCAGTCAGGCCATTTCTGTATGTCACTTCCTGTCTCTATGACGTTCTACAGGGGAAGGGCCATTTGGAACCCTCTTCAGGAATTCTGCCCAGTTCCAGAACATTCTTCATGACCAAGTGGACATTGTTACTCTCAGCTGCTTGCCTCCTACCATCTGTGTCTGTGCAGTGGCCAGGCAGCATGGACGATAGAAGGAGAGGCCGACCGAGGAACCACCGGAAAATCTGTGCAGGTGTGAGACACACATGAGGAAACAGCAGGTGTGCCTGAGAGGGGACCAGGGAAGGAAGCAGACAGACGAGAGAAAAGCAGGAATAGCTCCAAAGACGAGGGCAAAGCGGTACTAAACCAGCAGATCCAAACACCTGTGAGATGAAGGTGCTGACAAATGGGGGGCCGTGGCAGACAGACAGACCCCGCGCTGGGGGAGAAGGCAGTGGTCCCACGCTGAGCCCCGTCCTGGGGGAGAAGGCAGTGGTCCCAGGCTGAGCCCTGCGCTGGGGGAGAAGGCAGTGGTCCCAGGCTGAGCCCTGCGCTGGGGGAGAAGGCAGTGTTCCCAGGCTGAGCCCCGTCCTGGGGGAGAAGGCAGTGGTCCCAGGCTGAGCCCCGTCCTGGGGGAGAAGGCAGTGGTCCCACGCTGAGCCCCGTCCTGGGGGAGAAGGCAGTGGTCCCAGGCTGA